TGAACATCTTCTGTAACGATCTCTGGGGGAGAAGGTTCCAATTTTTACTCCTATACTTTAACACCTCTTTTAGACTATGTTTTACAAAATATGCTAATGATCATTAAGTTTTTTCAATGCACCCGAACTGTTAATACCATCGGCTTTTATTTTTAAGAACTCTAAGTCTTTAAGAAATGTGTATTTTAAATCGATGTTGCTTGATAATCCGTAGTGAACCGATCGAGAGATGTAACACCCTCAATTGTAGGAAATTTTAATTTTTTCCCAGCAGAGCTGAAACGCTTTTTTTCGCATTCTATTACAAGAAACATATTCTTCTTTTACAAAAACTCGTGAATCTCCCTCACTCAATATTCACTGCTTCGGGCTACCATTGTTGATAATATAGTAACTACGTGTGTAGATTTCAATGAGAATGAGGCTAGAATTACTAGGCATCTGTTTAGTTTTTATTGTGTATTTCAAAACTTCGTCACTCACTTTCTGAGAATCTCCAGCCATAGTATCATACTGTCTGCTAAAACAAAAAAAGATAAGCTATTTTTGTCCTCATTTTTAGAAGTTATCGAGAACTATGATTGCTTGAAAAAATCCTTGAAGCTTCTGTTCTTCTTTTAGATCAGAAATAAAAGCATTGCAGTGTTATTTATTAAAAAAATAAGAATAATAAGTCTTTACTTTTAAAAATCACATTTAAATTAATAATAAATAGACATTATATATGATTTGATTTTAATCATTAATATGAGTTTGTTACGATTTAATGCAACGAATGACAGAGTGTCAAGAGATTTTTCTATATTAATTCAATATAATTTATCAATCACTTTTTTAAAGTAACCCATTTCTAAGCAATGAATGTCGATTGAATAGTTTTTGTATTTCTTTTTTTTTTTTTTTACTTTGGTGAAAGACAGATTGCCATTACTTTCATTCTTGAACAAAATGATGAAACGTTGAGAATGAGCGAAAGAAAAAAAGAATAGAAAAAGAAAAATGAGAAGAAGTGGCATACTTGATTCTCAATTTTACAGCTTCATTGTTTTTTCTTATTTATACATTCGTATTATATCGAGAAAGAAAAGTAAAAGAGAGAAAAAAAAAATTTTTTTTATTTGTGTATGTTTCATAAAATTCATTGTCAATTGACAACAGAAGAAGAAAAAGAAAAGAAATCAGCTGCTATATACATCATTTTTTGTTTGTGATTATTTTTTTGAAATTGAACAATAATTATCATGCAAAAAGTTATCGAATGTGTACCAAATTTTTCCGAAGGTCAACGAAAAGAAGTAATTTATATGATTATATTATTTGTATTTTAATCAAGAAATAAGAACTATTTTTAAGGTTATTGATACAATAGCACATGCTATTGCTGGTGTTGAAGGTGTAGCATTACTTGATATCGATCCAGGCTTATCAACAAATCGAACAATTTATAGTAAAATGAAAACATTAAATATATATATATGTTTTGCTTGGAATCGATTTGAATATTTTTTTTTTCTAATAGCATTTGTTGGACATCCACAAGGAGTCATTGAAGCAGCAATGGCTGCTGCTCGATCTGCATATAATTTAATTGACATGACAAGACATAGTGGTGAACATCCTCGAATTGGTGCTATGGTAACTAAGATATTCTTTGAAAGCTAAAGATTCTTTCTTTTGTTTGAAATTATCTGTCAGGATGTTGTACCATTTGTACCTGTTCAAAATGCAACAATGGCTGATTGTATTGATATAGCACGTGAATTTGCTGATCGTTTAGCTATGGAATTAAATGTACCTGTTTATTTATATGGTGAAGCACAAGAACAAGAATATCGACGAGAATTATCACAAATTCGTGAGGGTGAATATGAAGCACTTTATAGCAAAGTAAGATATAAAAACGTATGTTTAATTCTAAAACACTGTTTTTTTTTTCTAGATTCGAAGACAAGAATGGAAACCTGATTTTGGTAAGATTTTAAATATTCATTTATTTTATTTAAAAAGAAAACATAATATTTTTAAGGACCCAATGAATTTATTCCATCTTGGGGAGCTACTTGTGTTGGTGCAAGAAAATTTTTAATTGCTTATAATGTTAATTTAATTGGCACAAAAGAACAAGCACATCGTATTGCATTAAATGTTCGTGAACAAGGACGAAGCAAAGATGAAGTAAATGTTAAAAGTTAAAGTTAAAGAAAAAATACTTCTTTTCTTTTCGTTCTAGCCGGGTAAATTAAAATGTGTTCGTGGTCTTGGTTGGTGGTTTGAAGAAGGCAATTTAGCACAAATTTCATTAAATTTAAATGATTTTGAAGTAACAAATATTCATATTGCATATAATCAATGTGTAGCTGAAGCTGAAATGCTTAATATTGGTGTATGTGGTTCTCAAATAGTTGGTCTTGTACCATTGAAACCATTATTAATGGCTGCTGAATATTTTATGGAAAAAGAAAATCTATTTATTCTTGATGAAGATCAAAAAATTCGTTTAGTTATACAACGTTTAGGTTTAAATTCTATTGCACCATTTATTCCAAAAGAACGCATTATTGAATATATTATACGTGAACGAGAAGGACAAGATGATAGTTTAACTTCAATGGAATTAAAAGATTTAATTAAACATGTTGGTGCACGAACATTAGTACCTGGTGGTAGTTGTGTTACATCATTAGTAGCTACATTTGGTTCAGCACTTAGTACAATGTGTGCATTACTTACTTATGGAATGAGAAAAGTAAGAATTAGTTTGATTGACATAGAGAAAAAAAAACATATATATTTGCTTTTGATTATTTTTTGCTGTAATTCTTAGTGGGAATCATTAGAAAAAGAAATTCGAATTATTATTCCTCCATTACATATAGCAACAAGAGCATTGATGAATACATTAGATGCTGATACAGAAGCTCTTAATGCATATTTAACAGTACAAAAAATGGCAGAAACCAATGATGAAGAAAAACGTTTGTAAGTTAAAACGAAGAAAAAAAATTATTTTTAGAATTTATTTTGTGCTTATTTTAGTAAACAAATAACGGAAAATCGTTGTTTACAACGATGTCTTGATGTTTCATTAGATGTAGCTCGACAAATCAATGCTTTATGGGAACCACTTCAACGATTAACACCTTTATTCAATGTTAATACAAAAGCAGATTTTTTAGTAAGTATTAAAAAAAAAAGATTATAATTTAAGAAGAAAATCTTTAACTATAATAGGTTGGTATTAAATGCCTTGAAACAGCTGTGTACGGTGCATGTAAACGGATCGAAATTTTCTCATCATCAATATCGGAAATTAATGATGATAGTGATTCACAAGCAAAGGTAAATATTGATTTTTTTTTCTTAACTTTGTAAATTATGTTTATATTTAATTTAGATGATACAAAATAATTATAAAGATGAAGCAAATAAGTTACTTGAAACAGCTCAGAAACAAGCACAAGCTATTTTAGCATTAGCTGAAGCAAGAAATTAATAGATACTGTGTTCATCTGTGGTACAGTCTATGTGCTCACTAGTCTTGTTTTATTTTATTTCTTAATCAATAAATGTTCAAAATATCATTTGTATAGTTTATTGGTCACATCGAATGTCAAATAATATATACCAGAGATTTGAAAAATTCATTGAGTCTACCGTCTGCGTGTCTGAGAGAAGTACACAATACGTATGTATACCACGTTTAATAGATACGTTCACTGTCTGTTATGTCTTGATGAAATGCAATCTAAAGCGAATGTTGAAGTATAAGGGTGAACATTTAGATCTAGATTTCTTCTTCGACAGACCGTAATAAATACCGTTGCAACACCCTCATGTCACATAAAGAAATGTAACCAACCTAGAATGGAATTGGGATATTAAGCAATGTCCAAGAACTGTGAAATAGAAATTCTGAAGTTGTGGAAACACTCTCAATGGAACTATCATAATTCATCGAAATAAATGAGAATCGACCATTTGTTCTTTCACAATTTCGTCATTCATAAAAGCTAAAGTGATGCTTGTTTTTGCAATAGTTTTCATACCCACATACTTATGTTCATAAATTTCTTGATAAATATCAATGTGAGAGCGAAAAATATTGTCAATATTGTATTTTTTCTATTTTAGTAATCATAAAACTATGAGGAAACTGAGAAGAAATTTTTATTCCTTAACTATTAGACATTCCTTATTTTGATTGACTGTTTGCATTTTCTAATCGATTATTATAATTATTATTTAACATCAATCGTTAATCTATTGTGAATTGTTTCCTGATTCATATTTTATATTGTTGTAATATGTGAAGACTTGCTATGATTTTTTTCAATTTGTCAGTTTATCAAATTAATATAACAGGTTCTTAGTAAAAAAATAACAGAATTTTTGCTAAATGTTAGTATTTTATTTTTGTCTATTCTCGATCAATCCATATGGTATTAAATCAATAAATGTTTTGGATACTGAGATCATTTCTTTAATTCATAATGTTGATCCTTTCTTATAAATGCACTCTTTTACCTGTATATAATTATTAGCATATTGTTACTAAGTAAAATAACATATGCAAGCTGTGACAAACAGATGAAAACCAATGATAATAGACATAGGTTGTCTGGAGAGGTTAATAGTCTGTCATGAGTAGCCTAGATCTTTTCTTCGTAGGCTTATTTGGACCGTTGTTATATATTGTTGATCGATTTTACAAGAGAGAAAAATCAGGCTTCGAACACTGAGACTTCAACAGATTTCATAAGACGACGTATGACTTAATAAGATGACTTCAAGATTTCCCATAATTCCTTCTATTAAATATGAACATATTTATATCTAAGTAGTTAAGTGGACTTCCTCAAGATATCATATCTGTCGAAAATAAATGCCTGATCGTGCAACTAAACTGCAATACGAATAGAAAATATTCTCTTTTTTTATGCAAATAAATGAATGCCTTATTTTAATTTATTGAATAAAATTCATGTCTTTGTTTTTCCTTTTCAAAAATCAAGAGGTCGAACACGTACAATAAAATCATATTGATTCAAATTAACCTCTACACCTTTTACACTAAAATAAAAATTTTCTGCGCTTGATGGTACATAAGTCGTATATGTATTGCCACCTCCAACAGCACGACTACTAATACTTCTTGATGAAGATGAAGATGGTTTTTTACTTGTTGTCGATGTATATACTGTAGTCTACAACAAAAAAAAAACAGAATTGATATCCTTATTTTGTTTCGTTTTTCTATTTTTCATGACTTACTTTTCCTGCACGATCTCTCATTTCAATTTCAAAGAAAGCATTCTTTCTAAGTTTTTTTAATGTATGCATTTTATAATATCGACTTGAATTTCCTGTCATTTTACCTTGTACTTTAATATTAGGTAAAACAAATGCTGGAAATTCACACATTTTCGTTGTTATTGCATTTGTAACACGAGCTAAATCAAGATATGAAGCAATACTTAAGACATAATCAGGATCACCAGCAATGCCAAGTAATTCAGCATCACCTGCTGTACCAATATTGCCAATGCCAACAGCAAATATTGTTCCTTCAACTGGACTTGAACGTAAAGCTTGAGCAGCTGGTATTGCTGGTCGACCTTCATTACTATGTCCATCAGTAAATATAGCAAAAATTCTTGGAACAGCTTTTGTAGCAGGTCGACATCTAGCTTGACAATATAAATCAGCTAAAGCAAGAGCATCACCTGTAGCTGTATTTTGAGCAAAATGTGGAAGTTCAGCTACTTGTTGAAGTAAATTCATTCGATCAAATTCAAATACATCTGTTTGAGCACTAAGTGACATATTTGATGAAAAATTAATAATAGCGACACCAGCTTTTTCTGTACCAACATTAAGACGACTAACGAGATCAAGTAATGCTTTTTTGCCTTGTTCAAAATCACCAGGTGATATACTTCCAGATGAATCAATAATAAGAGTTAAATCAATAAAAGCTTCACATTTGTTTTGACCATGAACGTGTGTAGAAAAAGTCAAAAAATAGACGATCAATAAACTGATTGATAACATCATCATTCGCATAATTGTTCTGCACGTATACCGTAGATTTTCTTTTTGCTTTTATTTAAGCACAAATGATATTGATATCTTAGTTGTTTTTTTCTTTTACAATCCCTTAAAATTGAAACATCCAGTGGCATATACTAATATCAATACCATTTTCAATTTGTTTTAAAAAATGACGTGATACCTACGCATAGGTTCTGAGTGGGTGCTATCATGTTTTTGTAGATAATATCTGATAGCTATATCACAATTAAAATTTTTAATAATTTTTTTATCGATTTACTTCCTAGAGAAAGATTAGTTGTTTCATATGATATGAAGCCGAAATATTTTATTGAAAGTCATTATTGACCTTGGCTTCTGATAGATGAAAAAGTCAGATAATTTTACTGTGTAGTCACTTGTTTCGTTATTTGAAATAAATTTATAAAAACAATTAATAGAAAGTTGTGAATGTCACGTTTGTTTTTGCATAGATTTTCACAGGAGCATTAACATAAATAAATCATATTTTCGAAAAATTGATTTCTTTTATTTTTGAATAAATTTGGCAATAATAAGTAAGATAACATTATTTTAAGTACTAATAAGTAACAGAGATAGAATTAATTCATATTTTTGTGGAACCGAATCTATTCTATTTCTTACATATAATTTGATTTCATTATTATAATTTTAGATGATTTTCATCAGCAGTGATATTTTATCCTCCTACGTTCATTTCATTTTCTCAAAACATCTCTGTGATTGACCATGATTGATTAAGTTATTTTATATGAGTTTTTCCTATCTTTATCATGATTCTGCCGATAAACTTTGTATTGTAATAGATAAATCTAATAAATAGATTATAGCCTACGGAATATAGAAAATTGAATATCAGTAATCAGTAATAGCTTTGCCGATATTTGACACTCTCTTTGTAGTTGATTGAACAAAAGCAAAAGATCATATCTATTTTTTGAGATGAGATCAATAATTTGATCAGAAAATAAGTTGCAGAAAAATTTTGAAACATATATGAATCAAGTCACTTTTTTGTACTGATTCTAAATATGATATTTGTTTCAAGTGAAGCAGCTAATATTCTGCTTGAAAATCGTCAAATGTCAGTCGAAAAATAAAAGAATTAGGCCTTAAAAAGAATGAACTAAGGATTTTGTAACGCTTAAAAAGTTCTATCGATTATGAAGTGAATTAAGTATAGAAGAAGTTTTATTAACATAATAATGAACCAAAAAATAAAATACACATAGATGTTACAGATATTCAAAATGCAAGCAATAGAAGATCGGTATATGGTCTAGTACATTCAAAACAAGGTTTTAAAGGAATAGTTCTATTATAAAAATGTAACCTGAATAAAGGGCTGTCAACATAACTTTGAACCATTCTTTACCACCCATTCAAAATGTCATGAACATAGACTCTGTTTACTAGAGTTCTGCGAGACAAACTTTTTACGAGTCACGAATCTCGTTTGTTCTGTCCCATTTTATTTTCAAAATGTCCTGATTCCAAATTTTTTATGGAATGGGGCAAGCAAGATTTTTCTAGAATCAAAACTATTCCACAGGATTCTACTGTTTACATTTAAAATGGGATGAAAATACCTTGAGTTTAGCATTGACATATTCAGAAACTCTTGCTTCTTTCATTCTATATATGACTTAATTATATTGGACCGTAAAACTCAAAAGAAATCAAAATACGTTCTTGTGTGCTTCCGTCTTTTATTAATATCTTCAATGAGCTCAAATCAATTATAGAATACTTCCATGTCTTCGTGAGAAATAAATCCAAGTATCTTTCTTGATCGTATACATAAATTTATATTATTTCTTCATTAGTTCACAAAGAAAAAGAAAAGATAAACAAACGAGACAACAATTAAAAAAATAGATGCGCAGAATATTAAGAAAGACCATACCATTGACCGGTCTATTTAAAAATAATAGATCAAAAAAAAAAAAAAAAGAAAAACAAAATTGAGCAACAAAGGGGAAAAAAGCCTATTTAAGTTTTCTTTCTACTTGAATGCCATTCGCTTTCAACTTCCATGTTTATAATTTTCACTTGAATCAAAATGAACAACAGTAGCATTTGTTGTTGTGACTGTAGTAAATGTTTTTGATGGTGTCGTCGGTCGAGCTCGATTTAAGGATGTTTGACGTTGCATACCGATACGAGTATTTTCACAAATGCTAACGGATTGTGCACGACGCATACCAGCTTCTTGTTGATCATACTTCAATACATAAAATATTATATTAAATAATACAAAAAAAATAAAATAAAATAAAATGTGGACCAAATCATTTGTTAGCGACGTAACTTCGCAAAATTAAAACATGTGTATCTCGAGATAATGAATATTCCCCGAACTGAGTTTTGTATATTGCATGTATGTTAAGTTACTTTAGATAAAAATTTTTGGACTTCTTTCTCATATAGTATGAGATAAATGCACTAATTACTTTTGAATTAATAATCAGCTGAAAGAGGAAATATTTTTACATGTATTCCTCGACACAAGTATCCGCCCCCGATGAAGTACTACTATTTTTTATGACATTGAGCTGATATTTTGGGCACATGCGTATAACAATAGATTCTAATCACAAGCATCAATCCGTCTTCCATCAGTTTACATTTACTGGAGTTATGACTCATACATCTTCTTTCCCTTTTGAAAAGCATATTCAGTGGAAATATGCACACAAGAAGTTTCTCTTTACCTTTATGCTATTTCATGAGCTATCACTATTTTTTCTACTTTATTATCACCAAAGACTGTGACATGTAGTTGAAGCCTTAGTAATTAGCAAGTCTTGACATAGTGAATCCATGTCGTAGCACTAATTTAACTTCATTCAATGTTATGACTATAAAACTTTTTAAACAAATTTGTCATTGCATCGGCATTTTCTAGTAAAACTTTCAAATGGGTTGATCAAAGTCATCATGACAAAGATACATCTTACTAAAAATCAGCATTTGTTCTTTAACAAAGCCATACTTTTAGAATGAAGGGTTCGGTAAAAACATTTGTGACAATATGATTGAGATAAAGCAATCACACAAAAAAGATTATGTCTGTATAATAATTCTCGTACATACTAATCGATTGAGGATGGATTGGTACTTACGATCAGGGTTTATTGTCGTACGAATCTACTTCAAACATAAGCTCAATAGTATAAAGAATTCTAGCACTTCAGAGGGGACGAGTACATTTTTTTAAGGACAATATATTTATTCTAAAAAAATTTATTGCGAAAAATAATTCTTGCAAAGAATTAAAGTCAAATGAAAGGTGAATATATTCAGTTTTACTTGAAATGGTCCATATAGAAATATATATATATATATAGATCTTACTATTTGTTGTTCTGGAAAACTTATTTTTGATGATGACATAGAATTTTGTGCTTGAATATGAGAAGCAGCAGCACTATATTCACTTCCATCATCTCTATCAAATTGAAAAGTTCTAAATAAATAAAAATTATATAATAGAAAAACAATAAAAAGGAACATTTTTCTTTTCGTTTTTTAACCTTCCGGATAGTGGTCTTTGTTCATTGGATTTTAATGAAATCCTTGATGCAACACTTGCTGATCGTAAACGTACACGAACATGTGGATCCATTTCATCTTCTTCATCACTTGGTATCATACCAGATAATTCACATTGACGTTCTTGTAATTTAATAAGAAGTTCACGAAATTCTCGTCGTAATTCTTCTAATTTTGTTGTAATTATTAAACGTTCAGTTTGACTTGATGAATCATTCATATCAAGATTTTCAAATTGACTTTTCAATGAAAGTAATTCTTGTTGTAATGCTGCCATTTTTGTTTGAATCTATATATATTTAGATATAAATCTTATAAAATAAAACAAAAATAATAAAAATAAATTGATTTTACTTCTTCTATTGATAAATCATCTGACATATCTGATATGCTGCTAATACTTTTTTTGGGTAGAGGAAATCTTGGTGGTCGAGTTATTCGACGAACTTCACCTGGTATTCGACGATGTGCAAGAAGTTCTTGAACAACACTCAACTAAATATATATAAATATGAATAAAATCAAAAGTTTCTACTGATAAAATTTTCTTCTTTTATTTTTACTTGTTGATTAAAACATTTAGTAAAAAACTGTGGATCAGGTATAAGATTTGGATCAACAATAACAGCAAGACGAATTTCATCAGCATAAGATGTTACACAAAAATTAATACTATGTGTACCAATACTTGGATTAAGACATATTACACTTCGAACATCTCGATTACAGATGGACATTGTTGCTAATGTTGTACTACTACCAGCAGCTAATGTTGTTAACCATAAACTAGCATTATTATAAACACGAGCCATTATTCTATTAGCTAAAAAAAAAATCAGCAATGTCGAAATCTTTATTTTAGATTTCTTTTTCTTCTTACCAATACAAAGAGGGAACAAAAGATAATTGATATGTGTAAATAAATACATCGTAGCATAATCTCCGTTTTGCTTAACTCGTTTTGTATTATCATTAAATGACCATAAAAGTGGAATATTTCCTTCAATATCCATTGGTAGTTCAAGACTTAAATGTGCTAAACGATTTCCCATAACAATATGAGGCGTATTGGAACGCAGATCACATGGCATAACACAATTAATATTTGATGAATTGGATAAACTATTTCGTTTTTAATAAAACAAAACATAACAATAAAACATCGATATTAATAAAAACAAAATAAATTCGTTTTATATGCTCAAATAATTTTATCATTAAATTAAAATGTAATATAATAAAAATGCATAAACTAGTGACATAAATCATTATGATCATAAATAACTCGATTGAAAAATAGCATCATACAAGAATAATTAAATATTGTTCGCATGAATATTTTTTTTTTCTGTTTAATACAAATGACTTCTGAACCAATATTCCCTAATGACATTTCACTTTGAACTTATTGATCAATTTAGATCATAATAGGTTTCGACAGATGCATCAATATCAGATTTTTTTTTTCTCTGACAAAATTTAGAAATTTTATTTCATTATGTATAGATATCCTTAAGAAATTATTCTTTTTAATACATCATATTCATCCTAGACAAACATATACGTTAATAATTTTTCATTAGAAATCTAGCAATAAGATTTTCTTTTGTTTTCATATATATTTTATCATCATGAGATTGTCTGCATTTTCTTCTTTGCTCGACAACACAGCTTTTCACACATTATAATATAATGAAAACATAATTACACATAAAAAAATAATTACGAAAATCTCATGAGAAAAAGAAACTAAAAAAAAAAAAGAAAAGTATTCTATATTCTTATGACATACCATTCATTTATATTTAGAAATATTATTTCTTGAAAGAATTATCTATCAAAATTATTAATTCATATGCGTGACAAAAAAAATTTTCAGTTTCTAATAATAAGCTTATTGAATCTGGCAAAGGACTTTATTCAATAATAAAAAAAAGCATCATCTGAGCTTAAACTTTTCCACTATTAGAAAATATGCAGACTAAAAAAAGTCGTATGGAGTAGTAATGCCATAGGAAGGATAGAGAATGTCTGAGGGCCTCTGGAAAATTAAAAGAATTTTTGCTAATAGTAGTCACACGGTAGAGGTGAGGAAAACAGCCACTCCCGGTCAAAAATTCTGGTGCCACCGCTAGTTATATTTTGGCAGAAATATCGAATTTCCACCTAAAATTTTGCAAAAATCAAGTATTCCATTAGATTAGTTTTCCTAAGACGTTTTTTGATAGATTATTTCTAAGACATGCAATATTCAAAATACTACTAGATTATGCAAAACCGATTTAAAAAAAAATCTTTATGTTATATTTATAATTTATAAATTATTTATCCAAAAATTTTGTCAACAACCTAGTTTGTTTTAGACTTTGATAGTAGTGAAATTTCAGAGCAATGTTCGAAAGTTTACCTTTGTCAACAAAGTAAAGTGTTATGAAAAAAAATCGACCGCTTAGCCGAATCATAACTAATATAATATTCTTTTAAATTTTGTCTTGTTTATATCAGAAATGGGATCAGTTCAGGTCAAACTATAAAAAAAAACTAGGTCGATTCGATTCGGTTCAGCTCCAAAAGAGAAGGAACCAAGATCCATCTCTGGTTTATATATATTCTACATGTGCATAAAATATTACCTCAAAAGTGTTTTTTACTTGAGGCAATTTCTTCTTAAGTGCAGCTTACTTTATCGATAAGAGGTAAGATATATAACGATATTAAAAATCAATCTTACCCATGTTTTTCTATGTATAATTTAACACAAGAAATCACTAATGTTGAAAGTAAATCATTCATACGTGTTCGTGTAACAAGTTTGATTCGTGTAGCTTGTGTGAAACTAAATGGTGTTGACCAAAGAACTAATCGTTGTTGTTGACTAGATAAATGTGGATTTATTGTTGTTATATTTGTATTTTTATACATAATCCGTTTTAAAAAATTATCTCTATAAGAATTAAATATTAATTTATTAAATAATAACAGATGTCCAAATAAATATGATTTTATATAATCAAATATGTGTTCATCACGTCTACCAGCAAAACGAGGTTTTATGTCAAGTTGTGTTGTACGATTATCAACAATATGTTTTAATAATATACGTACTAATGATATACCATCAGATAGAACAGGATGATAAAGAAATAAAAGTATACTATCATTTGGACGTATTGAAGAACGATTTTTATAATGTAATTGCCATAATGGTCGAGTAAGTGTTAGTTCAGTTGAAACAAGTGTTGATACGTAAGTTTGAAGATCTTCATCTGTTTGTATATTTCGTGGTATTTCACGTACGTGTTCATCAATCGAAAAAGCTGAATAATCAATCCACATTGTACCGGAAAAATGTGGAAAAATTAATTGTGAAAAACGTGGAAATAATTTACGCCCAACATTTGAACCACGTCGAAAACTATTTGTTATAAGACGATTCATTAAAATTTTTTTCAAAGAGTTTTCATTAACGGATCCTATATAAAATAAGAAGAAAAAAACACATTGAAATAAATAGCAAAGAATAATCACATCAAATTTATTAATACCTTCAAGAAGAAATATGGCTGCTGCCATCGGTCCAATAGTTTGAGAATTTAATTTTGTTGTTTCTTCATTTTTATTTCGATTTATTGATATATTACTATTATATAACCAAAATAAATCACTAGGAGATAAATAACTACATGTACATGGTGTAACTGTACAATGATATCGACAAGTAAATCGCATAAATGCTTTTATAAGCCAAGATATTGGTAAGATAAGCGTTATTAATATAACACATGGAATAGAAATAAATAATCCAAAACAAAATTTAGATAAACGTTTTAAAAAAATCACAATAGATGATTGATCAGCTGGATGTTTAACAGGTTTAATAGGTATATTTTGCATATAAGAACTAGTTGTTTGTTCTTCATCCGTTGTTACTGATCTCGTATAACCTAATCGTTTTCGATTTTGTGTTTGTTGAGGACGTGGCATATCGATTGGTTCAACACGTTGTGAAGGAAACAGATTTGTTGTTATTAATGATGATTGTAATAAAGATGAATGTTTACAAAGAATAATAGCAATAGATATTTGTTGTTCAATATAATTTATACGATGAATAATGTCAAATGGAACAGAAGCTAAATTTGATATGATTGATTCAGCCCATTGACTGTCCACTTGCATGTTCTTCTAGATCAATAGATATTTTTCTTATATTTTTTAAAAAGAAAAATTTACAACAAAAAGACAAGGTTCTTTTTTATTATTAATAGAAAAAAAACCCTAAAACTTTGCTCGTTCATGTAAAAAGAAAACAAAAAAGAATTTATAAAATAATTTCATTACTTCTTTTTTCCTGATGAAAGTATGTTTTCTCACCTTTTTTTTTAAATATATTGTCATTTAATAATGAATAAAGCTTTTTTTCTTTGGACTATATTACTGGTCATGTACTCATAATGAGCATAAAAATCAGAAACAAAAAAAATAATAATAATAATAAACGATAACAGAAGAGAGAAAGACAGAAAGGTTGACGTGTAGACTCATTTTTTTGAAAAGAAAAAAAAATCTTCTATTTGATAAAGAAAAATAAATGTCATCAAAATCAAATCAGGATATTCATTAAGAAAAACAAAATAGCATGTTGATATTTTTATTCATGAAAATAATCATTCAAACGTATGATTTTTATTTGGTTTCTCTTTAGTATATTTCATTGTATTTTTTTTGGTTTTACCTCGAATAAACGTTAAATCCATGTTCATCAATGAATAACATCGACCAAGACAAATAATTTTGATCGAAAAACGAATTAATTTACATATATCTTGTTGCTTATAATTCTTCATTGTTGTATTACAACTCTTATTGGCATTATTCTAAAAAAAATAACGAGTATCCCACTCGAATTATTATGTCAATATGTTCTATCTCGTTTGTCTCTTTCACTTTATTCAAATTGGACTTCTAATGGTTTCCATACGCATGCGTCTCAGCAGAGTAGCTAACCGAATGGTGCTAGATCTATCTTCTTTTTTTTTCTATATATATATATGTAGACATATATATATCTTTTTTTCTGACTGATTGATAGTCGTTGTTTAGCCATAATGATCATGTGTTTCGTAGTAATGGGGGTATCAAAGAGCGAAAAGAAAAAAATGCGGAATGAACGTGTAATTGTCAAGAATTGGAGACAGATAGATAGAAAGAGAAAAGAAAGAATGGCTAACTACAACAACAAGAGTCTGATTCGATCAAGGTCGTTGTAGCGCATCGAACAGCAAGACAACAATCACGGATGATGTGACGTTTTGTGAGAGCATATAAGCAGGCACGCACGCACTGTATTTCCGACAGCAAGACACATGGCATTGCCGTCGTCGTCGTCGAACGGAATAAAGAGGAGCATCGATGCTAGGAAAAATGAATAAACAGAGCAAAAGACATATTCCATGAATGAAAAAAATGTGATTTTTTGCTGTATATTTTTTATCTTTCGTCTGCTCTCTTATTTTTCTTTATTTTGCCAAAAAGAAAAACTTATGAATCATGGGAAAAGCTTCACCTTTTCCTTATCTAATCTTATTGGCTACTAAGAAAATTATCTGATACTAATTAGTTGATACAAGCTTTTCGATTTGACCTATACTATTAATTGAGTTGTCATATACTTGTTTTTCTTTTGTCTTCTTACCTCAGTTAATTTTGATTGTAAATAGTGTATGTCAAATTATAAGGCATTCTAACTAACAGTACGAAACAGTCTATTGACGCGCGTGTCTTTCTTTCTCTTTATAACTCTATTCAAGTGGGAAGAAGTAATCGGAGATGTGTGTTTCTTCTCGATAGCTACTCGAATTGGTGGAAGTTGTTCGACGCAATTAAGCGGACAGCACTAGCACACTACCGTTATAACTTTGCTAGTGCGCTCGACGTCGATTATATACTCTTTTCATTTTTTCTCTCTCTCTCTCTCTCTCTTCTTTAGCATCGTTGCGGCGCATTTGCTTTTTGCTTGCTCATCACACTAACTACTAGCAGTCGGTTGACGTAGCCGCCGGTGTGTGTGTATGTGGCATCTCAGTTTTCACACTCAGCTTTAGTTAGAAACACATCTACACATAAAAAAAAAAAGAAAGAAGAACTCTATCTTTTTTTCTCTCGTTTTTTTTTTCTTTCCTTAGAAATAAGTCTCTGAACAACACAGCACATGATAGAACGATAAAAGAACTCATTCCATCCGAGAAACAGTGCCAAGAATAACAATAAAAAAAAAAACTGCAAGATTGAAAGAGAAAAAAAAAGGGAAAAGCTACCATTACTCTTTTCTTGCTTATTTTCATCCGTTTCACAGCCGAGTTAATCTCTCGATAATATATATGACAGAGAATTATCACGTTTTTTTTAGCTCAAACTATTATTTTATATTTGAAATGGATAACCCCAATTAGATCTCAAAATATTTCTTTCACATTGAGTCGTATATAAGTAATTCGACATAAATACCTGAATATATCGTCTTAGTGTAGACAATATTTTATACCTATATGTATTAGTTCACCACAATGTATTTCATTGTAAAATCAACTTACTCAACAATCACAAAGATAGTTATCACTTTATTTTAGATTACTTTGTAGTTCTTAATCAAATAAACAATTTTTAATAGAAGTAATTCGATAAAAAAAATAATAGAACAGATAAATAGTTTATACATCCAATCTAAATGATATTCTTCAATAAATAATGTTTAATGTTTTAATAGAAAAAATAATCAATCATGTATCCTTGAGATTACCGTTTAGATTTTGTATAACAAAAGTTTTTTGCTGTTATTACACGTGTACATCAATTTGTAAAGAATATATTTGCCAGAATATATCTCGAACAACGTTTATCGATGTTTTGGATATCAGTAAAAATGACAGAATTGATGTATAATAATCTAGAACATATGTTCTATTGAGATGGATTCCTACAGGCAGTAAATTTGTTCTTGATAAATGATGCGCTATGTTCGAAAACAGACTTATCAATATATCTAAGATTTTTTATTGAATTCTTTTTGTTACATTCAAATGAATGATGTCGATGGTTTGATAGAAAAAAAGAAAAGAATTAGATTTGCATGCTCGACTGATGTTGAAATTACACTTAAGGAAAGACATCAATTCATTCATCAATAACTTCGTGCTTCTGGAAACGTATTCATGAGAATGCTATGAATTGAAAAAAAATAAAAGGAAATACAAAAGATTGATTCATTTGTATAGAAAATCATTGATAATTTATTACATAAAATCTAATCTAAACAGCTATTTTTTTTTTCTATATGTTTATTTTACTTTATCATATATTCACCGAATTTTAGCATCTCAAATTAAATGACTTCCTGTCTGGTGTCAAATTAATTCAACTTTCAATTTCTTCGAAAAAAAAAGATTTTGTCTGGAAACGGTCGTAGCACTAAAATAAACAACAAACCTATTTCCATAAAAAGCTAATTGAATGACAATTGACTTCCCAATCCGACCAAATAAAATTTAGATTCTTGCCGACAATTGTAGATTTGAAGACTAAATCGATGAAAAATAAATCAGTACTTTCTTTTTGATAATATTCCATAAACATAGGAAGACGTCATAGTTTTATTAAGAGACATTTGTGTGATGAGTAATATGTTGTTTTATGGCAAGCAATGTTGAATTCATCGGATATCCCTTCGAGCAAGTAAAAACAACATGACAAATTCTTCTAACCATAGTTAGCATCGTTCTTAAAGCAGAAAAGTTTGCTCAATAAAGAATTGATTGGCATTTATCTTTTATTCTGTCTTTCCTGAAGCGTTACTCTAACTTATAGATCGATTCTTCACAGCTGGTGAAGATTATATGAAATAGCACGTAATAATAATAATAATATATCTAATAGAACTTCCAAAACTCTTTTTCTTAATTAATCGATTAGAAACATATGTATCTTCTATACTTCATGTAAGAGGGACATCTTCAGGAAGAAAAAAAATGGTAAGTTAAAGAATTGAAATTTCTTCAAAGTCAATAATTTTTTCGTGTTCAATGAGTTCTTACTATTTAATAACATACTCAACTAGTGACAAAATATTGATTGGATTTCGTAATAGCTACACAATCATTGTAGTTTAGTATCAACGTGGCCATTCTTATAATTATTGTATCATTCATTTGTATCGTGATCGATTAATCTATTGCTATTTTTTATTCTCATAGTGTAACCTTCAATTATAATGGACGCTTTAACAAGTACCCCTCCCCCAATATCATCAACAATCATGAATGGTGATAAACTTTCAGGACAATTAATTATTAAAGCTCAATTAGGTGATGATATTCGTAAAATGATGATACATAATGAAGATTTAACATTAAACGGTAAAACATACTTCTATTTCAAAAGAGAAAAAAATCCTTTTTTTTTTTTTCTCTCTTTTATTTAGAACTCGTCCTTATGATGGAACGTGTATTTTCTGGTAAAATTTCAAATTCCGATGAAATAACTATAAAATATGTAGATGACGATGATGATAAAATAACTTTATTAAATGATAGTGATTTAACTGTTGCATTACATTTTCATAATATTCTTCGTTTATTTGTATTTGTTAATGGTAACGAACAAACAAATACGAATTCAACAGATAATCTTACTAAAGAGGATAGTTTAATTGATGCTAAAACATTTCGTAATGAATTACAACAAATTCGCAATTCAGTACAAACAATTCTCGATCGACTTCAATTATCACCAAATGAAGTTTCATCACCACCAACGACAACAGCTCCTACATCAACTGTTGTTCCAAGTACAACACGTGAATTTGATCCATGTAAAAGTTTACAACAACAACAACAACAACAACAACGTTCAGCTACTCCAGATAGTACATCATCATATGGAAATCGTCTAGGTAATAACGAACATGCAACAGCACCAACAGGTAAATAAAATTTTTTCCTTACAAAACAAATTTCATTTTGTTTTTCAAAAATAGTTGATACGCAAAAAGTCGAATCAACGAACACAAACCAAATACCATTCTCTACATTTCCTCAGACACAAATGCCAACACCACATTTTATGCCAACAGGTTTCAATAATGAACAACAAGCAAAACCAAATATGTTTGGTCCTCCACCAACAACATATTCTGGTATGCCACCTTTACCTAACAATCCCCCTCCTCAATACCCTCCTTCTGCTACTACTTCGAATACCAATACACCGCCAACATTAAATCCTTCTTCTACTCCACCACCTTCATCTGCTGGTCAATCATCTGGATTTATGGGTCAACAAGCATCACCTCTTTCACAGCAAGGAGGGTTTTATGGTCAGCAACAAGCTTTATTTCAACAAAGACCACCTCTTGGAAATTTTAATGCTAATAATACATTTGCTTCGCCACAAACAACACAATTACCATCAAACTCACAGCCAGCAACAATTAATCCATCATTTATGCAGCCACCACCGTCAAACTCACAGCAAGCAACAATGAATCCATCATTTATGCAGCCACCACCATCAAACTCACAGCCAGCAACAATGAATCCATCATTTATGCAGCCACCACCATCAAATTCACAACCAGCAACAATCAATCCATCATTTGTTCAACCACCACCAATGACTGCTCAACAACCTTATGGAACTTATCCTCCACCAAATTCATATTATAATCCAATGCAACAATATCCTAATACATCATAATATTCTGTTGGGTCGTTTTTTTTCTTTTCTTTTATTGTTATTATCAACATATTATCTTTTTTTTTTGCTCTTCGTCTCATTATTTACTTTATTCTTCATGTAATCATTGGTTGGTGTGAAGTGTTATGTTAACTTTTAAATTCAGGACGAATTTAATTCTCATATGCTTTTAAAATAAATATAGAACAGATAAAAACCGAAAGTACCATATCTAGTCTTTATATTACTGACTACACAATGATGATCGGTTCTTTGATTATATAGAAAGGCTTTATGATCAATGGCACTGTGCATGAGCCAAGAAAAACGAAGCTTTTTACTTTCTTCATAAAAAAAAAAAAAACGAGTAGCGTGTCTTTCTTTATCGGATTGACCGGCAAACAACATTATGTTCTGTGATTAAGTCTTACGCTAGTCGTACAATTCTGCGTAACATGCCTGTTTTCTCTCGTCGTCCTTCTTCTTTTTTCCTTTCTTCTTTTTTTTTCCTTTCTTTTTTTTCCTTGCATGTTATAGCGCACGTCTCGATGACGCATATTCACATACACACACCCGTTCTACTGAGAGCGAACACAACGGATCAAAGTACAACAATTTGAATACAAATTCTATCTTGAGATCGTTTTAGTTCACTAGTAGAATTCTTTATCATCAATTAAAAACAATAAGAAATCATGGCTGAGGCCCATGAAGCCGTTGCATTTTCATTTACAGTCGGTCATGAAGGTATCATCAAAATTACTCTTTTTTTTTAATGAAATTTAAATCATTTTTACAATATTAGGATTTAATGTTGATGTAAGTTATGATGTATTTAAAGCTCTTTTCTATGCTGGTTATCGTTCATGGAAACTTCGTTGTCGTCGTACATTAAATTCATTATATAATTCATTATATCCTGGTCATCCATTACGTGGTATTGCATGTTGTGGTCTTGTAGCTGGCCTATATTTTAAAGGTTATGATCCATCATTTCAACTAATTGATTGGCTTGAATCAAATGTATTTCAACGTTATTTACAACAACGTAATGGTAAAATTCTTGCTTGTATTGTTGTTGGTGGTGGTATATATATTGTTTTTATACAATTACGACAATATACATTAAAAAAATTATTTTCCTATCATGGTTGGATGTATCAAGAATATGGAAAAGATCTTGGATTAGTACCAAAAATATGGGGTGGCTTAGTTAAATTATGTGTCGGCCATAATCCATCATTATATTCTTGTCAAAATTTTTTACCATCATTACCATTACCAAGTTTAGATGAAACATTACAACGATATTTAAGATCTGTTCGACCATTATGTGATGATATTGAATATCAACGTATGGAAAAATTGGCTGAAGAATTTAAACAAACAATCGGAAGAAAATTACAAAGATATTTATGGCTTAAATGGCTTATTTCAACAAATTATGTTAGTTATAAAAAGAAAGAAATCGATAGAATTTTCTATTTTATTATAATTTTAGGTATCTGATTGGTGGGAAAAATTTATTTATTTACGTGGTCGTTCACCAATTATGGTTAATAGTAATTTCTATGGTCTTGTATGTATTTTATTAGTCAATTGTTGTTTTGTACAAAGAATTATTTATAATTGAATTTTAAGGATGCTATTTATATTCGTCCAACAACAATTCAAACAGCACGTGCAGCAAATTTAACTTGTGCAGCTTTTCGATATCGTACAGAACTTGATCATGAAAATATTAAACCTGTATGTTAAAAATTAGACAAAAAAAAAATGCAATAATGAATTTTTATGTATATGTATTTTAGTTAATGATACAAAAATTTGTACCATTATGTTCAAGTCAATACGAACGACAATTTAATACAGTACGTGTACCTGGCAAAGAAACAGGTATGATTTTAGAACAAAGAAAATATTGAGCAAATATTAAATTGACTTTGATTCTGTATTTTAAATAAAATTTCTGAGAAAAATCCTTAATCAACAATTTTAGTTAGTTAATTTTAAATATAAATTTCATTAGATGACTGAATTGAAAGTTACAATTTAAAAGTTTTAGTTCAATTATAACAACTACTATAAATAGAAAAAGAGATCTGTTCATTTCGATAGATAAGATATAGAGCCAAGAAAAACTGTATTGATACTCTGCAAAAGTGATTTAATTGTAACACTATAATCCGATGAATTAAAAGTTCGAAATGAGAACACGTTCACATTATGCATTATCGTAATATTATGAGAAGAAGTTATAATATGCTATTACAAAGGAACACACAACATGAGTTAGAGTATATTATAATATGTGCTAATATAACATGAAACAAACATATTTAAAAAACGAAACAAAAAGGAACGTAGCATATGCACTGCTACAGTAATATTAATATTACATAACACAATATAGATAAAACTAATTGATAAAAGTTAATTATATGTCTATAGAATAGAGTATACCTTGTCGTATTACAATCTAGGCTCATATTCCATTTTCTCGGCTTCTTGGTATCCATCCATCCTCCATTTTATCGATGAAAAAAAAATCAAGTTCACTCACTTGATTATTGGCAATGTTAGGATTATCGATTACTACAGTAGAATATTTGATTATTAGTTTATCTATTGTACCATTAAGTTTAACATTCTCTTTATTATATGGGTTAATAATACTATGTATATTTTCAATAATCTTCAAGCTGACGTCTAGTCATATTTTAATATATTTATCTTTGTTACCATGTAAATCTTGTAATGATATAGAGATGATGGCCACTACCAATAGAGGAATTCTTTATGTCATACTACAAGAAAAGAAAGCACAATATAAAAAGCAATGTCGCAATACGTTAGTACAGAGTTTTGTGTGTACATATCATAAAATATGCATCTTGAACAAGTTTTATTATACAAATGAAAATTCGTTATACTCGAAATTACAAAACGATTGTGCTTACATACAAAGAGATAAAAATCTAATGTATATCTACTATAGACAGAAGACTAGTAGAAGATTATAATGACAGATATATAACCATGCGTATCAGATTATAGTAAACGAAAAGCAAGAAAATCTGCCATCATGAAATGAAAATGAATATTAAAAAAAAGTCAACTTTTCAATCGAACTATTAATTCATCGGATTATAGTCAACAATATGAATAAAATATTTATGTAAGTAGATATCGAAATTCTGACATCATTATAAAAGACACGTTCTTTTCATGAAAGTTTATCTGTATGATCACTAAGATTTAGGAGTCTATACCACTATGTTTAAAGCTATATTCGAAGTGAGAAACTATCCTTTGTTTTTGTTAATTCATGATTTGTATCAAAATAAGTTTTCATCTTGATTCTGGCCTGACGAAAGAAGTCCTTCAACTGATAAATTGCTTTTAAATTGAGCTTATATGTATTATGAAAGATTCAAATGAGGTATGAATATCCTGAAAAAAGTTCATGTTCCTTAACTTATTGCTGCGGAGATACTACATTTTTACGGGATCTTTTAAAATGAATTTCGTGACCCTCTCAGTAACATCGGAAGAACTCATTTTCGAATTTCAAATTAAAACTTTGCATGGAGATAAGTCTTAACAAGAATAATTTATGTAAATGTTTCAGATCTTGTTGATGTTCCTATTTTAATATACAACTATGGTAATAGCTTGTCTTTTACATTGCTCATATAAACCGGTAGATTTGATGTTCTTGGAAACAATAAGTTAAAGACACGAAGTCTTTCTCAAGGATATTCATAGTCTCGACTAAAAAGCAATTTATCAGTCGATTGCTTTTTGATTGAGACTGTACTCTGATAATGCTTAATATGTAAAGAACAAAGTTTCCAACAATCAAACTGTTTTAGGCTTTGACGATGCTCACCATAGTCTAGTACAATCTCGATCAAAAAGCGATTGGACACTTGGAAACGGTTTCCTTATGAATAGGATTCATTTAGTTTGTAGTGTCTTCCTTTTTCAAGACTCACTTAGTCATAAGCAGAATCCAAATTTTGTTTTCCTAAATCCAATTTTTTCTCATTAAACTTATGAACACTAATCTATGTATATTTAGACAATAGAATTGATCTAAAAATATTTCAAAATTCATTTTTTTTATGAAGAAAATTTTCTTTTTTTTTTCAGACAAAATTATTCATTATTCCGACAGTCATCATGTTGCTGTTTATCATAAAGGTCGTTGGTACAAAGTATTCATGTTTTATAAAGATAATTTACTTGAACCATGTGAACTTCAACTGTATGGTTTATGTTTGTTTTAATATTATTGTGTTTATTTTTATTGTTGTTCTAGTCAATTAGATGAAATAATTCGTGACACAACTCCACCAGCTAATGGTGAAGAACATTTAGCTGCATTAACAGCTGGCGAACGACCATTGTGGGCTGAAGCTCGTGAAACATATTTTCGTTCGGGTGTCAATCGTTATGCATTAGAAGCTATTGAAAAAGCTGCATTTGTTCTTATTTTGGATGATGAAGAATTTGCAATTGGAACTGTAAGTTTATTTTAATCGAATTATCATTTTCTCTATCTGATTGCAATTTAAATATTAAAAAAAAACATTAAATTAATTCAGCAAGATAATATATCATCGCGATCAACTGATGAAAAGGGGGTAATTTATTTTATGTAATATACATATTGTCTAATAACTCAGTATTAGGTTTGCTTTTATGCTTTGCCTTTATTCGTTGTTTTAATATTTAATGCACACTAATATTTTACTAGAAAATTTATTTATTAATATTATTAATATCTTCTTTTTTTTTTAAATATCTTAGAGCATGACAGGAAAATTCGATGATTATGCACGTGCTATTCTTCATGGTAAAGCATATAACCGTTGGTTCGATAAATCATTTAATTTTGTTGTTAGCAAAAATGCTGTGGTATGTAACTAAAGAATAATCGAATGTTTAATGTATATATTATTTTCTCTCTTTCAAGTTTGGCTTTAATGTTGAACATAGCTGGGTAAAATCGATTA